CATTTCTCAATGTTTGATGTTAGAATTAGTACTTCCTTTTATCTGACTAGTTAAGGTAGGTTTGTTTTGTTTTTTTTTAACAAAATTCACTAATGAAGAACACCTTTCCATGTTTTTGAAAATAACTTTGAACACTTGATGCTGGTCCATCATGCAGAGGTTTTTGGTTTTAAAATGCACAGGGCAATGTTAAATATAGTATAGTAGACTTATACAAAACAAAGTCCGATGTAGTTGTTCCAGTAGGCCACACTACTTCTTACATTTTTATTTGATAAAACTCTTAAAATCTAAAATTACAGCAGTTTTTTTCCTTGATTCATACGTGTAAGAAAGACTGAGATCACTGCTTTGTGATGGCTCAGAGAAACAGCTCTTGCCTTTGCATTGTACAGGGACAGTTTTTTGATACTGATTACTCAGGCACCATCAGAAAGCTTATATGGAACTAGATCTGACAATCCCAAGTTTACACTAAAGTGGAGCTTTTTATGTGGGGAAAACATCTTTTGTTGAATAGGGATGTGCGTATTTTTCACTCTGACAACTTTGATGGTCTATGATTATGACTACAGTTTGTTAAGAAGAATGAGTCAGAAAGGAAAAGCTTCTTAATTGATTTGTTTTGCTGCTTGCAGAAAATGGGGTTATGTAACATCTCACAAGAGATCAGGCATCAGGAAGAAAGGTGATGAACAATTTTCTGTCTCAGCTTTGTTTCTGGTTGGCTGAACAACAGGCGAAGGGCTTGCTTAACTTTTTTTGAGTTGTAAAATAGTGTTTAATTCTAAGCTGCATTGCGGGAGAAGAGCTGCACAGCTGGGAAGGAAACATTTACTGGCAATAAGAAACTGAAACAGTCCCTCACAACCAAGGCTGAAACTTCATATTGGTCATCTGAAGATGAAAGGCTACTGGTTATCTCTGAGCTGTAATCCTATTACTCTGGAGCGGTGGCTCTGCTCTCCCTGCTCTCCAAGGCTGGGAATATGCAACTTCTTGGCCAAGTGCCCATAGTGCCTTTTAATATTCTACTCTCAGACTCCTCACAAAGCTTATGCCCCTGGAACTTATATTTAGTTATATGATACTGTACAAAAATCCAGGATTGTTAGGGAGGAGTTACTAATTCCACATACTTGCAGGTCCTGGTTTTCTGTAGAATGGTTATTCGTCTTTCTTGTGCTGAGATATTTTCATATTTTTACATTTTTGTGGATTAGATGTGTATTGCCATTTTAGTGTGAGGGATTTAGGTTCAGAGAGAAATTAATTTACAGGTTCTAATTTTAGAGATCATTTATTCTATACAAACCTGTAATCCATCCTGATCAAAGTACTTTAACTTAAAATTGTGTTTTTCTGTGCATTGTCTGCTAATGAGACTGTACCATCCATTGCAGGAACCATGCTGTAACATTCTCTCACTCTGTAAGTTAAAATGTTTGCTGCAGTAACCTTAAATAATAATCCAAATAGAAGTTTTGGTGAAAGGATTGCAGTATTTATGTATAGTTGCATATAGTAGTTAATAATATCCATGTCATATTGGATTAGTCACATCTTGAGGGAATGAGTTATTCCAATTCAGTTTTCATCCATTATGTATGTATCTTTTGAAAAGATCAAATTTTGTTAATGAATCTTTCCTCCCCTTTCTTCCTTGTCTCCACATAACCATTGAAAATGCCAATTTGGATTTCTTAGCACGGGACTGAAGCTTAAATTGTCTATCATAGAAGCAGAATCGAATGTATTTTAAGCAGAGCATTTGGAATAACTTGAATTGGTAGCTGAGAGCTAAAATATAGGAGGAAACTGCAGCCACTTAGAGGATCTGCCCTTTCAAAATATGTCCTGTGACATGAATGGCAGGTTGACTTTAAATGTTGGTGTGGCCAAATGCAGAATGAGAGTATGCAAGTCAAAGCTGCGTCTACACAATCATTTTTGCTCCTGCTCTGACCTTTGGAGAATGTTTTGTGGCAGAAGAAAGACTTGAGCCTAAGTGTAGAAAAAACAAACATGCCCACACAAAACTGTAAATGCTTTTTGTTCCTCTTAATCCAAAAGAGAGTTTTTTTTCCCCATAGCACAGTGAGTCATAAATCTTGTGCATGATCAGTAAAATCCTTTCCTACGCAGTTCAAAAGAACGAATTTCTTATGTACTTCTTACAGCAAGTGACATAGATGAGTATTTATTATTGAGTGCATTGTGGGGTGGAGATGAATATTGTCTTATTCAAGAAGAACTTTAAAGTAGATAATTTTTGTTCAGGTGTAATATTTTATCAGTCCTCAGAAATACCCAGTGGAAATATGCTACTTCTAAAGCTTTTTCCTGTTAAAATTTGGAAAAAAAGTCTGGATCTAGACCTACAAAATTTTACTATCTTTAGTCAGAACAAAGCCAACCATTTGTTTTGTTTATAATTGTTGAGATGCTCGTAAAGATAATCATATTGTGTCTAATAACTTCTGGTTTGTAATGAGGTGTTTTAATAGAGCTACTACAAGAAGGAAGTCATAGAAACTTATTCAAAGCAGATTTCTAGTTCCTTCAAGCAAAAGGATCTGGGAAAAAACAAACCCCAAAGTGTTCAGTCAATAGAAAAAAGCAATAGGTGCTGTAAATGCAGCAAACTCCCAGGTGTGTAATCATGAAGGTGAACTTACCAATGCCTATCTTGATCAGAAGTGAAACTGAATCAGAAAGCAGTAACATCTGGTATTGATTCCTGATGTAGATAGTTCTATTTAAAAAAAATATTGTTGCCATTCTATAGTTTGCAAGCAAATTTGTGTAAAAGTGATTTTCAGATTTTTTTTCATTTTAAGTACCTTTCTTTAAGGTACAGTGAAGAGTGTCCATGCATGTTTCAAAAAAGTACATTTACGGTTAAAATTTGAATTCTTTAGAAAGGGGCTTTAAAGACCATTTTTCTGCACATGTGAAGCCAGCAAGTCTGTTTCTGTTTTGATCAGACATCTGCTTCACTTCTCATGTTTAATTTAGAGTCCAGCTCTAGAATAGGAAGGTTGGTCTTTGATTCTTGCTATAAAGCATGAAACCAAAACAAATGATGTTTGTGTTACTAAGCAGACCTTTTCCTTTTTATTATCAGAACGTGTGTTGGAAAATTTCTCAGTAGTTTGTTTTCAAGTAATGTTACACAGATTCCTTATCTTTGTTGTTAAACATGGGAGGGCAAATATTGAGGTTGGGAAGATTGGTTGTTTTTTGTTTTGGAAAGAATACTGAGATAAAAAGAAATGTTACAGAAAACCTTAACCCTCAACAGGAGATGAATTGGCTGGGACTGTGCTTAGAAGTGTGTTTTGCTGTTAGTGCTATTTTACTGAATATTATTATAAATGTTTATCTTTAAATATTTCATTATCTTTTGCCACATTGAGAGAATTATTTATAGCTGTGAAAGTAATAATATTTAGACTTTGGAAATCATTCTTAAGGATTATCACTTGCTGTCTGATAGCAACTTTTTTCTGGTACTGGTATAAAGAGATTGGGTAACAAAACTCAGGTTTTGGGATTCTTGCTGTGTTCTGTCCTGGGATTATCCCAAGTAGGTTTGGGCCCTGTGCATCAGAGACAGGATGAACCACTTTGTGATGCTTCACATCAGGAGTTGGAATTGCCCCTGCAGGTCCTTGTCTTCTGCTGCTTTGGAGAGATCCTGTGTCCCTGCTTGCCATTTAATTTCATTTGAATGTCAAAAACTCAGAGGAGTAAACACAGGCCTCTGCTTCATGGTCTTTACTTATAACAGGTGAAGTAGAGTTTGATTCAGAGGCAAAAGATAAGATAACCACTGGAAATGCCCTGACAAAGTAGTGTTTTTATGATGGCTTGAGAAAAATATACCTTCTTGTTTAAAGTTTACTGCAACTTGGAATTTAGTGTTCTTTCAAAGATAACTTACAAGAGAATTATTAGAGAGCGTATATAATTTTGTGTTTGCGTATATGTATTCACATGTATATAGACTGTGTGTTTAGTATTTGCTTTATCCCCCCTCATATTAAAAAAATAAAATCTTACCTTGCCTAGTTTAGCTATATTAGTTTTCAACAATATTCTGTGAATAAGTACTATTTGCAGTTACTGTTTTCTGAAGTGTTTTACTGTTTCAATAAGTCATCCTAATTGCTTGTCATTTCTTATGTTTGAAAAAAAACCTAAAGAATATTTAAATGCATAGCAGAAATGTTTGGGGGTTTCTTTCCCTTGGTTTTGTTTGCCCTTTCCCTGTTTTACTGGTTCTGTAGTTGACCATATCACTGCAGCAATTCCAGCTCCCTCGTCTTAGGGTGAGAAGTAGTAAAGTAGAGGTTGGCAGCATTTACAGCATTCCACTCTCCATGAGTCCCCATCTGTGGGAGTCCTCCCAGACTTCTGAAGCGAAGAGAGCAAAAAACCCAGACAAACTAATGATGGCTTGGCAGCTCTTTAACCTGGGAGCTTGCATACAGCCCCTGGCTGAAGAGGAGCAACCTGCTGGTTCCTGGTCGAGGATCAGGTTCTCTGTGTGGCTTTGGGAACAGCGGTGCTGCCACAACGTGGGGACTGTCAGAAGGGCAGAAACAGAAGGTGGAGGCTACTTCATACTCCTTGCCAAGTGTTAATAGATGGTGTTTTGGGGAGCAGCACAAAACTCCATCGTAGTACCAAGCTGTAGTGACCCTAAAGCTGTTGAGTGTATGGGGTTTAAAGAATGTGACAAGAATTAAGTATTTCTACATTCTTGTCTTTCATTGTTTCTCAACCCTAGGAAAAGTTATTAAACCCTTTTTCTGCTAGATTTTATCTGCTCTTTAATATGCAGATGTTCTCTTTTTGTAAAGAAAGAAGCTAGAGGCAGGAAAACAGCTACAGAACTGTCGGGAGAGGGTTGATTTATTTGTGGGGGTTTTTGCTGGTGCCAGTTATCTGGTGAAATTCATGTAGATGTGTTTGCTGTGACTCTTCTTTTACAGGCTCAGAACAAAGAAACGAAAGTTCTGGCTGCTGCAAAAGTGATAGATACTAAATCAGAAGAAGAACTTGAAGATTACATGGTGGAGATTGATATTTTAGCATCCTGTGATCATGCTAATATTGTCAAGCTGCTAGATGCTTTCTACTATGAAAACAATCTGTGGGTAGGTATTTTTCCTTCTCTAAGTGTTTTTACTTATTTCAAAAGGTTATTGAAATTACAGTTTTTTCTTTATTAAAAGATCATTTGTCAATCACATTTTGTCTGGGATGTCAGTATTGGGATAACTATTCAGTTTCAAAACTAATTCTTAAATTGTGAGTATGACTTAGGAAATTGTCACTGTAAAATTGTACTACACTGAGTCATTTGGTCAGGGGGTTGAATCTAAAATGTGGAAATTAGCAGTTCATTTTGCTGTACTGAGAGAGTTCTTAATTGATGCTTATTTGTAGCAGCAGGACTCAGATTTTAATTACGTTAGTACAATTTAGAGTGAGATTCAGAATCCATACCTGAAAAATAAATAATGTACTGAAAAGGTCAGCCTGTGAAGTATGTATTTTAGATATGAGTGAATCTATTGGCACTTCCAGGAAGGACAGTTTACCACTACTTGAACCATAATTAATTTACTTAAACCTGAGGTATTAGAACCTTGATGTGTGGTGAGCATTCATATGAGTACACGTCACTCCTCTGCTATATCCTGTATGTTCACTGGAATAGCTTTAGCTATGACAATACAGTTTTTTCTTCTAGGTGATCCAGTGCAATATTTAAAAGTGCTTTTGGAATTGTACAAAGAAATACGTGCTTGGTTTTTTTAAAGAGTTTATACTTCAATACCTAAAACGAATAAAAATTTTCTTTGGAAAATAAGCTTTATCCTTTAGCCATGAAAATGATGGACGTGTAATATCGTATTTCCTCATTTACATTTATTTTGCCAAGCTTAAAACTTTGTGATCTTCATGCAAAGTAAAAGGATATTGTATGAAACAGTGGAATAGTGAAAAATATCCTATAAAAAAGATCAGTATGAAAGCAAGTATGCATAGAGACAGAATATGAAACTGAGTGGATAGGTTTTGCTGGCAGAATGAAGATAGAAGAGGCTTAAATAGTTTGAAAATAAAGTTGTAGCTACATAGTTACAGTGAAAAGCAGGGACATGAAAGCAACAAAGAGAAACCTTAATGATGTAAGTAAACTGAATTTAGTGCAGTGGAAAAAAGAGAAGAATGATAGTTGGGCATAAAATAGTACACTTGCTTTATGGGTTTGGAAACATGATTTCTTTATCAAAGAGACCTTTGTCAGCTCAAACAGCAAATTTAGAGAAATTTCTTATTTACAGTTTCCCACACTTGACTTACTTGGCATGTAGAAGCATGTAAATGGAATAATGTTTAAAGGACTTACAAAGAGTTGCATTATATAATACATTTGTTGGTGTCATTGTTGTGGGGATTAATTGCTACAGTAATTTGAAGTAATATGTGACATAAGTGGTGTATATATAATTGTTATGGTATAAGGTATAGTTTGAGATTTCCTCTTTTATGGGCAATTATACTCTGATTTTAAAATTACTCTAAAGAAAGCAAGTAAGATATTATTTCTCAGAATATTGACTGACTGACAAGAAATACTCATTATCTGTCAGGCTGAAAATTACAATTTAATGTTTAAAGTTCAGATTAAAGAAAAAACACATATGGAAGAGTGGGATATCAATCTTGAATGACCTTTCCTCTTTCTTGCTCTCCTCATTCCCTTTGCCTACCCTCTTTTTCCTTTGTGTATGTACATTCTGTCCTTTGTGTCAGCGTAGTTTGTACTCCAAAAGAGTTGCAGTTTATTTTCATTTCAAAAGCAACTCAGAACTGGAGATGGACTTGTTCTAGTATATTCTGGGATAAAAGCCTTGATGTATTGTAGGCATGAATGGAAATGAAGGAAAATTAATGTAAACATCTGAATTTAGTAATTTTCTTTGGCTTTTAACAGTATTTTTCTGTATTTTCATCTTGTCTGAAACAATATAAGAGATAGCATCTGCTAATGGAAAATCATTTAGCTCTTGGACTTTTCAGTCAGGGAGATTATAGTATAGAAGTAGAACTTAATAATCAAGAAATGAGTTTGCAGAGATTATGTAAATCACATTACAAGGAGTAGGTTTAAGCTGACTGTTTCATTATGTTTTAAAAGTTTTTATTATGCTATTTTATATTTGAATTAAAACTTTTGTCTGAGGATCTCCAAGTATTTTGCAAATAATTTGCTTGAGCAGCACAGCCCTACTTTTAGCTGGGTAACAATACCAATATTTTGCAGGTTAGTAAAGTAATTTGTAGAGGCAAAATAGTCTGAAACTCTGACCTACCAGTAATGCTCCCTTAATCAATGATTCGGTTCAGTGGAACAGTTTAATTTCTAATTTCTGTATTTTATTTGTTTAAACACAGATCCTGATCGAATTTTGTGCAGGAGGAGCTGTAGATGCAGTCATGTTGGGTAAATAAATTGTTTCAAATAATAAAGTTAACACCTTATAATTATAATATATATTCTAAGAGATATTTCATATGAGTATTGTTTTGATATGCAAATATTTCTGTAATTGTTGTGCTATATATGTTAAACGTTGGGGTTTAGAAATTAGTATTTACACCTATACCTATGGACATTGTAACTTCTTAAATTAGATTTATTTTTCTCTCAGTTTTAAAGTGTTTATTTACTTTCTAACAACATTTTTGTTTGTATCCTTTGAGTAAATGTGAAGAGTTGTTGTCATATGCTTATGAAGCTCTCTGTTGTTATAACATAGTCTGTATGAGCCCTTTTCAGGTCTCATTCTTCCTTCTCCACTGCCACCTTCCAAATCAAAGGTTGTGATAATTCTTTATATTGCATCTACCTTAAAGTTAGATTTTTCTGTGCTTATTCCTCACATCAGGTGAATACTAATACCATTTCAGTAAAGGATCTGGTCTTTAGCATCTCTGTGTACCACACAGAAGAATCAGTCTCTAAACTGTATAGCTTTTTCACAGATCAGATAGGTGGGTGTGCATAACTGATAATGAGGAGGGGTTTGGGTTCAAGGCATGAAATTTTTACTGAAAGGAGCGAGTATTATAAGATAGAATTTTTTTCTGACACGTGATGTTTAGAACCTGTCAGATAAATTAATTTTCACATATATTACTATGCTGATTGCTACGAACACATAACGTAAAATGCAGAAATGTTGTGATTATTTCTGTCTCTGTCTTGTAGAGCTTGAAAGGCCATTAACAGAGCCACAGATCAAAGTGGTGTGCAGGCAGACACTGGAAGCACTGAACTACTTGCATGAAAATAAGATCATCCACAGAGATCTAAAGGCTGGCAATATTCTTTTCACATTAGATGGAGACATTAAACTAGGTAAGCACGTTGCATATACAAGACTTTCCCAGAACTTGGCATGGTCTTTTAATTGTGTTTTCCTCAGGCTGTAGTTTGTCAGAGTTCAGTATTTGAACTGAAATACCAATCTGGCAATGAGGGATTTTTCAAAAGCAAGTGGTTTGCTACTATCAAGTCAAAAAAAGAGCTTGAACAAATATCCTGACGATACTTAGCCCATCTTTAACACGTCAAAATCAGCGAGGGTAGGAGTTGTGTCAGCATCTGCACCAAGTTGCCTACAGTCAGACACAGCTCCTACTGTTTCTTAGTATAACATTCTTACTTACAGTTACCTTTACTGTGGTAACATCAGAACTTCCCTTTGAAGTTGTTAGTTTGGAAAATGAACATTCTTTAATATCACCAAAAACCAGTAGCCAGTACTGTTGTCTCTCCTTTTATTGAGAGAGGAGTAATTATCTTAATTACTTATCTTAGTGTTTCTGTGCCTTTGTCAATTGTTTGTTACACTGAAATTAGGACAGAACTGTCTGGAAGGAAATTAATACGAGCTTGCTATTGTTGATTCCTGTTTTTCTATTCTGAATTTAAGAGTCATCCACATTTTCACTCTGATGTGATAGGGAATCCATGAGGATTCCTCCATACAGAACTGACAAAGGACTGCTGGTGGTGAATAGCATCCCTTCATTGAGCCAGGAAAGGAGAGGAATTATCTGGATCCACTTTGTTTCAGGGGCAAATGTGTATAAGCTGTCAGCCTTTACAGTGGCTCTATCCATGTTTCCATGACATTGCAGCTCACGCTCACGTTTCAGAACCTTCTCTCTGCGTGGGCTGTGTGATTAGGTGTATTTCTTTGGAAGCACGTTACACAGGGGGTAAAGGTAAGGAGAATCAGAATATCAGCACAGTGAACTGGGGCTCTGAACTCCCAGCCTTGCTACAGACGATCCTTGTAAATGTAAACAAGGTATGTCCGAAGTCAGAAATGTCTGCTGCGATTGCAGAGTCTCAGCAAGGTTCAGGGCATCATCTCTGGTAAGAAGTTGGGAATATTTAAGAACTTGCTTTGCTCTATTGATCAGTTTAGTGTGTCTGTGCTTTCTGCATGGATCCCCTTGCACAAAACTATTGCTTGTACATCTACTCCTTGCATCTGCCTTTCTTTTAATCTGCAAAGGACATGTAACTTTATTGTTTTAGCTTTTTCTACAAACCCTGAAGATTTAGTGATGGACTGGAGGCCATAGGCCTTATTTTTAAATGTAATATAATAGAACTGCTATCTTAGATTCTTAGTACTGCTGTAAAAGAAACCACAGATCATAGCAGGAGTCTCATGGTCAGAGCGAGTCATTTGTTTCTGTTCATCTCCTCACATGACCTGGCTTCTCCTCACACAGACTTGGAACTCTTTTAAGGTTTTGTCAAGCTTAGCTGATACACAGCACCTTGCATGCTTAAGATACTACTTAACAGTTCAGACCACAGGGAGGTTTCTTCCACACTTACATTTAGTGATGCATTCAGGATTGCTAATTAAGATTTCTGCAAAAAAGATTTGCTTTTGCTTTGAAAAGTGTACAACATGATTTGAAGGAGCATTTTACTACTTTTAAACTATTTGTATTTTGATTCTGCTATACACAGAAATGGGTAATTCCTTGTTGTACAGATACGTAAATGACAAATTTCCTTCATTGCACTTTATTTGTATAAGGATTTGAGTTTTATTATTTCAATATCTCTAGTCCTTCAAGATTTCAGATTTTGCATTTGAACCATTGCAGAAGTCCTTATTTTTTTTCACAGAGCAAAATTACACTTCTCAATGCTGAGCCCATCAAGTAATTTTGTACAGATTAAAGATGGCAACATATGGCTATTTCTGTCTCTTTGCTCTAATCTCTAGATCTTCATTAACAAAACTACATCTATAATAAGCATACAACAGATATTTAAATGTCTTTTTTTTTTAGGTGAGAAATGTAGTGCTTTGTAGACAAGTAATTGCAAAGATAAACTTGTGTTTTGGTTGGATATTACATCAAAGGTGGATATGTAAGCTTTGGATATTTGGTGTAAAGTGAAAATCATGTGAAAAGAAACCTGTAACATAAAGGAAAAATGGTACTTCACGAGAATCTGAGTCCTGAAATTAAAAATTGAATGAGCTGTTGAATTAATGAGTTAATGCCATGTCTGAGGAATACAGACTTCATAGGCTAAAGAAACTAGTTTCTAATTAAAATAATTTAAATCAGTTATTCCTATAGTAAATACATATATTGCTCTTGTCCCACACAGCCCAACAGTAGCATGACTTTTTGTTTTAGAAATGACGAATAAGTTTTAATCGAGGTCTTGTGTTAGAAATGCTCTAAAACCTTGGCACTTAGCTATCCAAACACAATATTTTTATTTCACTTTGAAGTTTTAATACCGCTGAATGCTTGCTCTGGAATACATAACATTGAAAATACAATTATAAAATAAAAAATATAATACGTTTTCCACCACCCCATTAATAGTATTTTGCTGTTTGCTTTAAGCGGATTTTGGAGTATCAGCTAAAAACACAAGAACAATACAAAGAAGAGACTCTTTTATTGGTACACCGTATTGGTGAGTGCACTGTTTCGCTGACTTTTTAGTAAGAACTCATAACGTAGTACGACTTTAATGTTATTATTACAAGCTTGGTAAATATAGTGTAAATATAAATATAAACTGATTTAAATTAAATGAGGGTAGAACGTGCTTCTTAAAATGCTTCAGTGAGTGTACGGATCAGAATGCGTTTTTTCTAATCTGGTACTTCGTTATTCTCTTTGCAGGATGGCCCCAGAAGTAGTAATGTGTGAGACCTCTAAAGACAGGCCTTATGATTACAAGGCTGACATTTGGTCTCTCGGCATTACTTTAATAGAAATGGCTCAAATAGAGCCACCTCATCATGAATTAAATCCCATGCGAGTGCTTCTGAAAATTGCAAAATCTGATCCTCCCACCTTAGCACAGCCTTCAAAATGGTTAGTATTTTGTTTACAACTTTCCCACCCCAGTTTGTAGGTTTTGAGTACAAGGCATACCAGGTTGTCTTTTTGCTAAACTTTATATCCATGAGCATAGCCCTGGTTGAACTTTGTGGTCTGTCTTTATATCCTGTGTAGGTTTGTACTTGTGTACACACACATAGACATCTGCTCTCACAATTGGAACTGTGGGCTTTTGGTCATAGTTCTGTATAGAAGCTTTTTTACACAAGTACTTTGCAGATTTTGCATTAAAATGTATGTGAAATAGCTTTTTAAAATTGCAGTAACAGATCTGAAGACCATCTGAAAAAAGAGATTGTGTAGAAGGAGACTAAAGCATTTTTAGACTAAGAAAATATTTTTAAAAGGCATTATCTAGTTGGTCAGTTTAATACCTTTACATGGTTCAGTTAGTGGTGTAGTAGATGTGATGTATTAAAAATGCAGAACAAAAAATGAACTCCTCTATTAATGGGCTAATAGTTTAAAGGTTATATTTGTGCCATGGTGATCTTGGCATTCCTGTACTCTTTGTTTTTCCCTGAATCAGTAGAAGAACCTGGAGTTGCAGTGTAGATTCATAGGAAAGCAAAAGAATATTTCAGTGTGTTTTAGTCTGATGTTAAGACAGAAGAACAACCGCTACCTGTTTGCTTTTTGTGTAGGTCATCAGATTTTAAAGATTTTCTGAAGAAATGTTTGGAAAAGAATGTAGATGCAAGGTGGAGTGCAACTCAACTGTTACAGGTAGGAAGAGTTAATTGTTCAGAACTGTTGTTTAAAGGCAAGCATATTTTGTACTTTTTGAAAGCAGAGCAGTATTATAGTAACTATTCAAATTATTTCAAATTGAGTGTTCATACACAACCTGCTTTTAAAATTGATGCATTGATCCTTAATTGATAAAATTTAGTTAAATGATACCGAGTGCAGATCAAATTACTTGTTTAACATATTTTGATGTGAAATAACTCATTACTTAGTGTAAGTAATTATACTTTGATAGCTGTAGTGGATGAAGGAGATATTTATGTGTGTAGTCAGCTGCTGACAGGTGTTCTAAAAGCTTTAGCACTCAGCCCTGCCCTGTAATGCTGTCACTGCAGAACAGGAATAGATGTGACCAGGTACATTTGATTCTGTTTAACGTCAGCACGCATTTACTTCATCCACAATCCATCTGCCATATGCTGAGTAGATTTAAGCAGCAGGGCCAAGCAGAGAAAGGAGATTCAGACAGTAGGAGAACAGGTACCTGTTTGCTCTTAAAGAAAAAAGTAGAATTCCAGTTTGTGTTAGAAAAAATTGTTCTAAGGACAAAGCACGTTTTGTTCTAGAAAGAGTAATCCTAGATAAAGCTTATCAGGAAATAATTCAACTGTGGAACTGAAATGAAAGTTGTTTCCAAGAAAAATAACCTTTTTAAAAATATTTCTACTTCTATTCTTTGGATTGTGAAAAAGGTCAGTATGAATGAATTATTTATATTTTTAGCAAGTTTGTTAGACTCCTTACACAATATGCTTGAATACAAATGTTTTGATTTTTAAGACTTCAGCAGAAAAAATGTATTAGGACAGTTATGATTTATGTTAATTGTGAATCTTGAAATTTAAGAGAACCACAGTAACGTTTCTCTGAAGTTGTATTTCTTTCAAGTTATGATTTTTCCACTGTGTACAGTGAAGTCAGCACTTAATATTGTGCTTATTTTTTTATTTTCACAAGCATCCATTTGTTACTGTTACTTCCAATAAACCGATAAGAGAATTGATTGCAGAAGCTAAGGCTGAAGTTACAGAAGAAGTTGAAGATGGTAAAGATGAGGATGAAGAAGAGGAAACAGAGAATTCTCTGGTCAGTTTAAAATTTGCTTTTTTAAATATGCAATCTCCAGTTTACCATGGAGAATTCAGTTTCTCCCTGTACAAGCTGACTTTTTCAGGAAGTCTTCTAAAATTAACATCATAAACATACTCTAACCTTATTACAAAATAAGTAGTCAACAATTTCAAAATTAGCATGTTCTTAAACTCCTAGTAATAAATAATAACTAAGAAAGACTAACATCTTTATTTTTTTTACATATATATGTGATATATTAAAAATGGGATACTGATTTTTGTGTGAATGGTTTTAAGTCAAAATGTCTAGATGAACGAATAAACGTGCATTTGTATTCCGTAAAGTGTTTGAAAGATTAAGAAAGGTATTTGACTATTATGCTATAAGCTAAGTTTGTGATTTTACAGCATGACTGTCAAGGAAAAAAAAGAAAAGCAAAAGCCCCCATATTTTACAAAGGCAGGATTGCATTTATGGATGTATTTCTGGAGATGCTTTAAGAATCTCACAAGGCAAATACGGTTGCTCGGAGGGGAAAGCCCCTTTGTTCAGTGATGGGGTGGCAGGCTGCAGAGTGCACAGGCCGTGTGCTTCCTGACCTGACTGGTGCAAGTGCCCAGCGCCATCAGGAGCTGCCATTACCAGCCAAATGCAGGAGCAGATCCTTTCTTTTCCTCCTCTCCCATCACCATGCTACTCACATCCCCTGACCTTCACACCCCACTCCCAGTCCACCCCAGCAAATCTCCAAGTGTTCATTCCCACCAGCTTCCTCCAGGACTTATTCTCTATCTCCTGAGGATCATCCACCACCTCCTTCCGCTGATGTGCTGCTAAGCCATCAATCCCTAGGAGGGCTGGAGTGAAGTCTGCCATGTGACTCAGTTAAATATCTCAAAAGCAGCATTTTAAGGAACTGTGAGGTAGATGCATTCATGTTATTTACTTGTGGTAGCTTTAAAACTGCTTGGAGATCAACACTGAGCTTTTAGAGTAATTTTGTGAAGAAATATTTGAAATGAAATTTCGACTTAAAAGGAATTGTTTTCTGTATGCCTGGGAAACCAGTAAGGTAAGGAATGCGCAATCCAACCCGTGCTTGCTGCAACAGCTAACCTGGGATGTTCCCAGTGGCAAATCGAGAGTCTGATCTGCAAATTACAGGGTTCTGACAATAAATACAGACAGAGAGATATCACAATCACTTTGAAGAGTGAAAGGTCAATTATGGCTAAAATGGTGCTTTATTAGTATATTCTTTTGTGTGTCTGTATGTAATCTGATAACATTCACATTCTGACAGCAGCAGTTTCTACAGTGAGGTAACTGTTTCTGTTCTAGTTCTGTACTGCCACTTAATCAGATCTGCTGGAAGTTTTCACCATTTTAATGGAGTTTTACATTGATTAAAAAAACAGATTAAAAAATTCGAGGCATTTTTAACAAAGAACACAAAGTGAAGTAGAGGAAGGTCTTAATATTTCATTTTATCAGTGCTGCACTAACTGAAGCTACACAGTTTGTTTCTAGCCAAACTGGCACAAAGACGTGTCTTTCAAATTCAGCTGTAGCTGGTACTGTTGAGGAACTGAACTGATAAAAAAGAAAAAAAGAAGTGTGAAAAGAAAAAGACTCTTAAAGAGTGGCTGATGACCATAATCCCTTTCCCTCAATCACAGTGTATTTTATTCAGTTACGAGATATGGGAGAGGGTTTTTGTGAAACTTTCGGTTTAGAACCTGTCTGCAGTTTGTGCACTTGCTCTGTGGTAATACCAAGTGAAGTACTTTGAGGTTATCAAATTCTTTGCCTGTAAATACAATATTAATCTCTGTTCAGATATTCTTCCATAGAGCTGTGCTTTGTTTAAGTTACAAAATGTTTAAGTGTTTCTCTTCCTTTAATTTTTTAGCAGTTACCTGCAGAGAAGCGTGCATCCTCCGACCTTAGCATTGCCAGCTCTGAGGAGGATAAACTTTCACAGAATGCCTCTGTCCTGGAATCTCTCTCAGAGAAAACAGGAAGTAACGCAATTGAGGACAAAACAGCTGGGGATGAATCTGAGGACATTAAATTTAGGAAAGCGGGTGATAAGATATGCGATACGACCATTAACGATATTAAAGTACAAAACGGTTCTGTGCCAATTGGTGAAGTTGAGCAAGGCAAAATAATGCCAGCAGGAAAGGACACAGAAAGCCTGGAAAAACCACGTAAGGATACAGAACCCCAGAAAATAGGGAAAGAACTTGAAGTGGTAACAAAACCAGAAATAAAGAATGAACCTGAAATAGAGAAAGAAAATTCCATGGCAAATGAACAGACAGAAGATAATAAACTGAAAGTAGTACCCACAACTGAAAACAGTGTAGAAACTGAGGAAGGCATTTCCAAGGAAACTGGTGAAAAAGAAGAGGAGAACAGAACAGATCTCTTGGGACTTAAGGAAGAAAAGGTCCCTGTAGAAAATAGAGATACAGAGCAAAAGGAAAATAAAGATGAAGAGCGGAAAGAGGCAACAATAGATACCACTACAGAAACTCTACCTAATGCTACAGTTAAAGTGTCTGATGAAGAAAAGGAAATAATAAAGCATGGAATTGACAACATTAAGGAGATAGGTGGTATTGCTGAAACACCGATCAGTGATGGGCATAAAATACCTGAGCTGGAGGATAAGCCAGTGGAAAGTCAGGCTAAGCAGGTCCATGAGATAATCAGCTCTGAAGAAACTCTATCAGAAAGCCAAGATAAAGTGATCAAAGTAGACAAGAAATTGGCAGAAAGTGAAAATGAGGGTATTAGTAATATAAGCACTACGGAGGAAACAAAGATCAAAGACTCTGGAAAAGATGTCGTAGACCAGAAGGCAACACAGAGCAAGCCTGAGGATATTTCTAAAGTGGTGGATAAAGTGACTGATATGGACCAGAATTCAGGAGAGCGCAGAGCTGAGAATATCCAGGAAAACAACATTCAGACAGCCAAAGAACTTTTGGAAGTTACTTCTGATGAAGTAATGAAGGATAAACTTCAAAATGCTGTCAGTGAACAAGCTGATGACTCTGAAGTCACTCCAGTCCCCAGTATTAGTATTAGCACTGAAGAAAATGAGAAAGTCAAAACGGATAATCAAGGCAATACTGAAACTTCCCAGCAGGTAGAGCCGGAGAATTTGAAGGAAAATGATGCTGATTCAGGCACTGGTTCTACAGCTGATAACAGCAGCATTGATTTGAACTTGTCAATTTCTAGTTTCCTTAGTAAGAACAAAGAGACAGGATCAATATCTTTACAGGTAAGTGTAAGCAATCATCTATTTTTTTAATGTAAAATCTCATGTGAGTGTGACCCTAAAATTACCTCCAGGTTTGATTTGTGCTACAAAGGAAAGTGTTGAGTGAGAAACTAGCTTGACAAATACATACAAAACTAACTTTGTAGGAACCAAAGTATTCTAAATTGCACAGCATAACAACATCTGGATTTTGTGTGTTTATGCTAATTATTTTCTTAATTTATTGCATAATGGTATTTTAAAAAAGTGGACTAGCATATAACAGGAATTCTAACAATATTAAATGTGAGGAATTGTGAATGGTTGTAGTTCAGAGCTGATATGCAAGAAGTTCAGTTCAATGCCTTACTCAACACAGAAACCCTGTTTAATGGGAAAAATCTCCTGTCACATCTAATCTTATATTGAATTCCTGTTGCTTCCATCTTCTGTCTCTCTGTTTAGATGTGGGAGATCCAAGGCAGATATTCTGTTGGGTTTGTTTATTCCAAACACTGCTCCTGTGGCTGTGCTGTGTCAATGCAGCGATGCCAGTATGAATGAGGTTATTCAGAGGAAGCACATTCCAGACTATGAACTTTCTTTATATCTTTATACTAATATGATTATAGCCATACTGAGGTAGTAACTGTGTAACATGGGTTTGAATGGAAGAAAAACAAACCCAGAAAACCAACCAAACAAAACTCCCATAGCTTGGCTTAGCTGTGCTAAACATGATTTCAGGGTGTTTGCAGTAGCTCTGACACAGTGGAGATGCAGTTTCAGCTGGGGTGTCTTTTCTCTTGTAATGAAACAACAGCAACTTTGAGAACTGAGATTTCTTCAGTTGTCAGCAATCTCATCACATGATTTTTGGCCAATATATATGAATAAAAAAAATTAGACTTGCTCATTTATTTCCAAAGCAGAAGTAAGTAGGTGAGTAAATTATTATTCTGTTTCAGAACTGTTTTTCAGAATTAAATATCTTTTTTTGGTGACTGGGAAAATCATGGTCAAAAGCAAACAGGAAATGTAGCTGTCTTCAGCTCTTGAAAATAAAACTGCATCGGTTTTGTTCAGAGTTTGTCTGGTTTAATTTTTTTCTTCTGGCAATTTGGATAATCAATAATTACAGTTCCTTTGCTGACTAGAGAAAGTTTCAGTTCATTAAAATTTTTCAAGTTCTCACTTGAGATACCTGATAAGTGAGAACTCCTGATTAGTATATAGTAGACATTCTCAGAAATATTTGATCCAATTTCATATTAAGAAAAAGGAGGACAAAGAATATAACTTAAATAAGTACAGCATAACTTACCAATGCTTTATTTAGGAAACTAGAAGACAGAAGAAAACGTTAAAGAAAACTCGGAAGTTTGTCGTTGATGGAGTAGAAGTGAGTGTAACCACATCAAAAATAGTTACTGAAAATGACTCAAAAAGTGAAGAAATGCGATTCCTACGGTAAGTGTTTCTATAAGTAAAATTTTCAAGAGGTTAGCAGCTAATTTTTTTTCTCTTTGAATTAGAAAAGTGGGCTAATGATCTTATTCCAGAAATACTTAGGGATTAATTTACAGTATTTTTTTAGTAGAAAGGAATGTAAAGCGTTTCTTCATAAGACAATCAATTGGTCCTTTTTGGTCCTTTTTGTCTTTTGTAATTTTCCTCTTCTTTTGCTTTCCCATCAATATTAAGTGATTCTTTTTCCTTATTAGACGTCAAGAGCTAAGAGAGCTAAGACTTCTTCAGAAAGAGGAGCAGAGAGCCCAACAGCAACTCAGTAACAAGCTTTTGCAACAGCGAGAACAGATGTTCAGGCGTTTTGAACAGGAAATGACAGTGAGTTTCTGGATTTTGGTGCTCTTAAAATACAACATGTTGATGGAGTAGGCAGAAGACTGCTAGCAGCAATCAGGTGTTTCTTTTTATGATGGCTGTAGCTTAGCCTTCTTTGTTGCTAATAAAAAGCAGTATTTTGCATTGTGGGGTGCTCAGCTCGTGTGCTGGAACTTGCCTGCCAGAACAGTTCATCAGGGCCATTCCCTGCTGTGGTACAGCACTTCACTAAACAGAGCTTAGTTTCCAAAAAAAAAAAAAAAAACCTGCCAAATTATTTTCACAGGGCAAAAAGCGGCAGTATGATCAAGAAATAGAAAACCTGGAGAAGCAGCAGAAGCAGACGATAGAGCGCCTGGAACAGGAGCACACGAACCGCTTGCGGGATGAGGCCAAACGCATCAAAGCAGAACAGGAGAAGGAATTGTCCAAATTCCAGAACGTGCTGAAAAACAAGAAAAAAGAGGTAAGAGACGGTGACAATATAGAAAATAAGGAGCATGGGCGTAGGAAACAGTTGAGATTAGGTCTCCCAGAAGCCTTGTCAACTGACCTGTGGAAGTGTTACTAGCAGTCAATATTGTTTTGTTTGTTTTACTGCCTAAAGTGAAATACAAACAGCTAACAGGAAGACTGAGGTATTGACTTAATCTAGAAAACATCACCATGTTAGAAGACTTTATTTTTCACAGAATATTTAATAAAGTATTTTCTTGAAGGCTGTGAAAAATATTTGAGTTTTCTACTTTAAACAAATCCAGCTATGGGTACTTAGGAAATACTTATCAGATTAGAATTTCGAACACAACACAGTCTTGTTTATTACTGAGAACTATTTTAATTTCAGATATGTTTCTTTTTTATTAGTGTAATTTGTTAGATTTTCATTGAATGTGTGCTGTTATTGTGTAGAATTTCTTTATATGAAGTGAGAGCAGTAACATGGATTTGGCTTTTTAGCTCAAAAAAGAAAGCCAGGAGAGGGAAAATTGTGGATAACCTAAGGTCTTTTACAGTTAAGTTAATCTCATACGTGTCATAGAGTTAAGGCAAAATGAATGACAACTGACACTGACACTTTGTGCTATTAATTTGCTTGCATTAGAGTAAGAGAAGGTATGTGGTTCCATGTAGATTTTGCATCTTAAAAGCTGTTTTATTTCATTTTTGGATCAATTGTATAGTGCCCATTTATATATGAATGGCTCTAGTGTTTGCTCTAATAGTTACTAGACTCAGAGATTTCTTTAGAAAGCTGTAGTGTCCATGCTTTTGCATAGAATGATCCTGTAGCACAAAACTGCATTAAAGAAATAAGTTGTATTCAGTTTGAACCGTATGCTCAAATGTAAATAACAATTTTTCTTCTTTTGCGGTACCTCTTGCATTTTTGAGTCTCTCTCTGTTTACTGGTGATCGGGTCCTACATGGGAAAGCGGGGAGAATTTTACTTATTGCTCTGAGCTAAAAGCAGTTCTTTCATGGAAACAGGAGTAGCATGTGGTGATTTGGACTCTGTTTTCTTATGATGCTTCCACTATTAAACAAACAGGCATTTGTTTCTGGGTGCATAGTTTTGTGTTTAAAGCTTAAAAAGGCGATGTACAGTTTGGAGGAAAATGCAGCTGGTGCTCTAAAACTGTCCATGCTACACTGGAGTGTGCAATGCTACATTTTTATAAGTCTCAAAACCAAATAAAACACATTAGCAAATTAACAGATTAATAGTCAGTTGATTTAGCCAGGTTATATTTAGAATCTTTCAGCTAATCTAGTCTAATTCACCTTGAACTGAAACACGTTCCGTCCCAGCATGTCACAAATAGTTTCTTGAAAATGTAGTTATTGGTGGGTTTTGCTTTAAATTCTTCAGAACCAAACACTTGCAACCAAATAATACTTTGCTTGTATTACTATTTTAAAGACATAACCTGTGTAGATGTCATTTATGGTTGGAGACACTAATAATGGCATCTTGTAAATTCAAGTTACAGACAGTGTCAGAAATAGCTGGTTTTCAGTGGAAGTTTTTTTAAACTTCCAACTGTTTTTCACAATTTTACCATAAGGTAAACATATTCTGTAGTTCTTTTGCCACAGTGCTTCAAGAAAATACCACTTTTGCAGGTGGTGATTTTCTTAACTATTGACTCTTCTGGCTGCTGCATGGGAACACAAGCGAGAGACTCCAATTCTGAGAGCACTGGGCAGCATTTGCATGCAAAAAGCGGCTGGCACATCCCTCCTTTCTGCACTGCTGGCATGCATGAAGCACCTACTGTTTCTTCTCTTTTCATTAAGCTCTTTTCACTAAACTAACATCCCTGCCACTGAAGTAATGCATGCTTCCCAGTACCTCTAGTGCTTGACCTGCATGTCCTGTGTTCACAGTAATGCTTGCTGTGGAGAAAAAGTGTTCTTTTTGCCACCTTCTGCATGCTTATATACACTGTAGGTTTTATGTGAAGTGGAGAAAGCACCAAAAGAGCTGAGAAAAGAGCTCATGAAACGCAAGAAAGAGGAGCTTGCACAAAGCCAGCATGCTCAGGTAACAACGGCAGCTTCAAGCTACTAAAATACAAAAGGCAGCAGTATTCACACAGCTTGATGATTTCACTTCTTGTTGTTGTTGAGTGAATATGGAACTTAACTCAAACTAACCCTCCATACTGCTCTCTTCCTTCGAGTACTCCCATATCACATCTCACAGGCTAAACTGGGTAGACACGTAGGGGCAGCGGTTCCCAGGCTTGTACTGTCAGGGTAATGGTTTGTGTGCTGTACTGAACAAGAAGGGTAATTCTCTACAGCAGGTTTATTTACAGTGCTTGTACGAGTGGTAAGTACCCCACAGGTCCCTCGGATTTTAAGGGTTACAGCCAGAAGTAAGTTTTGAACAACACAAGTGCAGGGGAGGAAAATGTATATACTATGTAAGCATGAGGCATCTTGTTTATAGAAGCAGAACAGATTAGGTAAAATGTTATTTAAATGTCAAAGTGTAGGTGTACGGAAACGTTGCAAGACATCATCTACAATTTCATGCCTTCAGACTTGCTGCTTTTTTATGACCCAGCTAAAAAGAGGGCAAGTATTTTAGAAAAATATTGGCCTTGTGTTGGCCACAGCTTGTATGGAGTGAGTTTCAACCACAGCAGAGCAGGTTTGGATTGAGTAACTTAAAGATTAAATGTTCATTTGAGTGGCCTAGTGGAAAATAATAGCAACTTTATTTGATTATGTGTTTAAGAGGGGATTTCCCAGGATAGAATGGGATGGAATTGCAGTGCTCTCCTCATACCAAAGATACCTGTCTCTGAACTTTTTAAGGAAACAAATCTCTAGTTTTTCATAGTGTTTGTAGCAACTTGTTTTATTTTGTTTGCTGGTTTCTCTTTGTTGAAGAGAGGTGAAAGAGAAAATTTAAAATGTGAGATATCCTTACTTGGAATGATAAGTACTAGACAAGGTGCAGATGTTTAATTTTAGAATATTGTCAGCATCTACTTCTGTGATGAGCCTTGACATTTTAAATGCTTATTACTAACACACAGCAGGTATCATCCTTTTTTTAAGAATAAAAGTATATGTCATTATATCATGACATAGGAAGTACATTGTGTCCCACAGGGCGTTGCTCAGGTTATGATTCAGTCTTTTCAGTTGTCTTCATGTACGCTTTTCAACGCACAGATGCAGGATGTAAGTCTTAAAATGCAAAACAACCAAAGTTTTATTTTCCTAACTTTCCAGATGCGTGTCTTCTCCTCTCCTTCTGATCATATGTGCTGATCAAATTTGTAATGATGCACTTTTCATAGTCAAAAGGTCAAAATTACATTAGTTACTTAGTCTGGGCAAGACACTGAGGTTTCACACATGCAATATAATACTGTTCTCTGGTGTTTATTATTTGTTCAGCACATGTGAGAAACATTGTGTGACTTGTATGCTGTGTGTGCAGTGAAACTATGTATTTTAAAGATATCTGAGTTTATTTTAAGATACTTATTGGGCAAAACCAAGTGGTAGCTTGAAATAGGTGAGCTGTCTTGCTCTGTCTGCCTTTGAAACAACGTACAAGTTCTTTGGTAAACTCGGTGACCTTTATTTTGTGTGGTACTTGGGTAGATGTGGGATGTGGAAAGGCCAGAGTGTTTCCTGAGATTGCCTGGTTTATGTTATAGTGCTAGCAGGTACAGAACTTCCTAAGATTGAGAGAGAAGAGCAATGATATTTAAATGATTGTGTAAAGCTCAAGCCTAATCACTTTTTGACCATGACCACACCAGAACAGCTTTCCCCTTCTCCCTTCAAATCAAAAAACTCCCAGCAAATTAAACACTGTGTTAATTATGTGTTTGCACTCTCAGAAAAATAAACTTGTAGTCTTCTTATCCTTTTAATCTAGAAAGGGAAACAACAGTATTTTTCATCATTTCATATATTTGATTAGTATGTCTGACTTAATTTACAGACATCACCTCCCAGTTCTTTTTGTACCCCCAGGTCTGTCACTGTCAACTTACTTCACCGCTGGTTTTGTGTTACCTTTCTCAGTGTAACTCTGCTGTCCATTGAGAGAGATGAAAGCCTCATCTATTAATAACTTTCCATGAAGATGAAAACCAGGATTCTTCTGGTCATGATAAAAAGTACTTTAAATGAACATTTAATTCCACCTGACAACTCTTTTTAGCAAGTACCACAGGTTCTGTAAAAAAAAAATAAGAATAGCTCAGGACACCTTTCCAATGATCAGCTGCAGCCCAGTTTTCCATCTCCCTTCCAACAGACCATCTTTAGTGTTGCTTTGTTATGCAGAGCAGCGGGTGCTTTCAGCAGCTCCCCTTGGCTCTGACAGGACACTGAATTGTCCTTCTTTTGACCTTGATATGGTTTGATAGAAGCTTCTGATTTAACTCCTCGTTCTTACGGGGGGTGTGTGTGCATGCTCTGGTGCTTGTGGCTGTGGTTTGCAATAGTTGCAAGAAGAAAGGCAACAGTGAGGTTGTTTGGGGAGGGGATGGGAGGGGATTCCTTCTGCTGCCTGCTTTTCATAAGGGATGCAACAGTGATACACCTGGATAAAGGGAAGATGGAGGTGACATGGGGACTGCATCAGGCAGGTGGTAAATCACTTTGCAAGGAACCAGCTCAGCTCAGGTGTGCAGGGTTACAGCCCTGCAGAACCATGGAGTGTCTGCACAGTGGACCTGCAGAACTCCCTGCCTCAGTACTTCTGCCTTCAGGACAAGATAAACCACACAAATCTGAAACCCATCTATGTGAATAAATAGGCTTTGACTAATCACCCAAAGCAAAATAACCATGCATACTTTTATTGTCTTACCTACATGAATAATTAACCCTTGATAGAATGAGATCAACTTTATACCGAGCACTTGTGTTTACTAGCTCTGAACCTGCAGCTTGTTCTGAGGAGAGACAAGAGATGGAATGAATTGCAGATTGCTGGCTGGTTTGTTGCCTTGGGTCTTACTTCTGAAGGTATTATTTAAATATTAAATATCCTCTTACCTACTCTGTACATAAAAAATACACAAGATGGATAATTTAATAGTCAAGGCATGCTAGCTCAAAGTTTCATAGATGCATTTGTTTTCATATATAGCTAATACTGAGAGAACTGGGAGTTTCATTAAAATGTAATGTGGTTAGAAGAACAAAATTTAATTTACTTTTATTGGTTTTTACCAGGAGCAGGAGTTTGTGCAGAAGCAGCAACAAGAACTGGATGCATCTCTGAAGAAAATTATTCAGCAGCAGAAGACAGAACTGGCCACTATTGAACGAGATTGCCTCAACAACAAACAGCAGCTCATGAGAGGTATCCAGCATCAGGCTCTCTTTAAAAACAGGCCCTTGTGTTTTCATAAAACAATATTCTGTCTTCACTCTAAGAAGACCTTCATGACTGATTTACAATGCTAATAAAAGCATTTTCTGTGGAATAACATTGTTTTCAAAATGCACTTGTAGGCTACTTCGAAACATAAACGAGCAGGTAGATTGGGAACCACTGTGTGGTTGTTGCACTTTCTGAACCAGCTTCCTCTCTTTTGCCAGCTCGGGAAGCTGCAATCTGGGAGCTGGAGGAGCGGCATCTGCAAGAGAAACACCAGCTCCTCAAACAGCAGCTCAAAGATCAGTACTTCATGCAGAGACACCAGCTGCTCAAGAGGCACGAAAAGGTTAGTGTTGATTTTGACACATTCTCTTGTGTATTATAATGTCCATTTTTTTTTATCAGTAGTCTTATGATCTCTTCTGGTAGTTGTTTATTTGCACAGGCAAGACCCGCACAAGTGTTTTGAAGCTGTTGAAACTAAAAAATCTTAATCATCATATTCGAATACCTTAGTAGTATGCAAAAGTATCAGTAGTAATATTTCTCTCTTTTGATTCTTAAAAAAACCCCAACTAATCACAATATCAACCTGTTTCTATTAAAAATACTGACTTCTGCTTGGATACCAGATCAGTTTTGACTTGTGTTTAAATAAATCTACTCAGAAGTAAATCATCATGGAATTAAATGAGCAGAATAAACTGGATTAGCTTTTGGGCAAGTAGCTGACAACTGTCTCTTTATAGCTAAATCCTGTGAAATCCTTATTTTCTCCGAGGCATTTGGTTTTTTATAGACTACACTAAAGAAAATAGTTCAATTTTCGAAAACGTAAACCAATTTGGAGGTGTTAGAGGATCTCCTCAGTGATCAGAACATGAGCAGCCTCCACTGAAGGCCTATTCCTGTCCGCTCTGGTTCATCTCATACTGGCTGTTGTTTTCAAAGCTTTTGCAGCAAACTGCCCCTTCACAGCTGCAGCCCCAGAGCTCACTTGCACAGAAGTTTCTCCCTTTGAACAACAGACTTTTTAAAAGGCAGTTCAGGAGTTGAGCAACCAGTGGTAAAATATATGTGTATTCACATTAATTGGAGAATCTTAGCAGGGCTGGGCATGATCCAGAGTTCTGTGGAAGAAGCCCCTCCTACCCGCTGGTGCTGCTGGGGCTGGGCTTGGTCTCTGTTGGGAGGCCCTGAATCACAGGGGTGCCTATTGAGGAAATGAGATACAATGACATAACACTGATGTTACTCTGTACCATTTCCACGTGGTTAACATTGCAGGAAACAGAACAAATGCAGAGATACAATCAGCGCCTTATTGAGGAGTTAAAGAACAAGCAAACTCAGGAAAGAGCCAGACTGCCCAAAATCCAGCGAAGTGAAGCAAAGACTCGCATGGCGATGTTTAAGAAAAGTTTAAGAATCAATTCGTTAGCCTCTCCAGACCAAGATCGTGAAAAAATTAAGCAGGTAATTATTAAATTTATATTTAGTTTTAAGAGTGTAAATGCCAAATGTGAGAATGGGATAGAGTGCACTCTCACAGGTTCACAGATGGTACCAAGCTGAGCTGATGCACTGGATGAGGTCAGAGGAAATCATCTTTCCCTGCTGTACTGGTGAGACTCTACTGGGGCACTGGGTCCAGTTCTGGGCTTCCCAAAACAACACAGACATGAATTTATTGGAGCAAGTCCTGCAAAGGGCCTTGAATCTGACCCAGGGACTTGTGGGTCTTGTTACACGAGGAGCCAGCTGGAATGCCTGGGATGCCTCAGCCTGGAGGAGAGTGGGCTCAGGATGGTCTTATCCATGTGTATAAGTACCCAAAGAAGGGGGAGCCTGACTCTTCCCAGGGTGCCCAGTGACAGTGTGAGAGGCAGCAGGCACAACTGAAATACAGAAAATCCAACTTGAACATAAGACACTTCTTAGTGTGTGGGTGGTCAGACATTGGAACAGGTTGCCCAGAGAGGTTGCAGATATGCCCAGAACCCAACTGGATACAGAGCTGTGCAGCCTATTTCTGTCAACCCTGCTTTGAGTAGGGAGGTTGATCTTTGCAGGTCTCTTCCAACCTCAGCCATTCTGTGATTCTGTGAAATATTTTTGAGGATGCTTGATTTTTGTGAGTTTATGAGCTAAAACTGTAGGTATTCACTCATTCTTTAAAAGGGAATGCTGTGAAGATGTTGAGAGGTTTGCGTTCTACAGATGCACTGAAGTCCCAAGTCATGGTGTCATATGGTGAGCACTGGAAGGAGGAAAAACCTGGAAAATAAGGTGTCCTGTAGCTGTATAACACCAACCTTGACCGACGCCTGCAGCAACACTGCTGTCACTTACCTTCAGAGGGAGATAATTGGAGGAGTCTGGTGGTGAAATGTGCTGTGCTTTAAGGAAAAATCATAGTGCAGACAGAGAAAGGGAATTAAAACTGTGAGGGCACTCCCTTTGTAAAGATTTTAAAAAAGAAAGAGTAGAGAAAATTATTGCTTAAATCTTCTGAAACCATTCTTCTCAGTATGTGTTCATTCTGTTACATGCAGTTCTTTGGCTCATGTAAACTGTTGTATTCAGAGGCACAATATAAATAATCTTTTTAATTTTAGTTTGCTGTTCAAGAAGAAAAGAGGCAGAAGAATGAGAGACTGGCTCAGCATCAGAAACACGAAAACCAAATGCGGGACCTTCAGCTGCAGTGTGAAGCAAACATCAGGGAACTGCATCAGTTACAGGTTAAAAATAGATGATAGTAAATGACCATTCAGTGGGAAGACTGGGGTTCATAATGGATGAAGGCAAAGCAGAAACATCTTTTCCTTCATTTTTACTGATGAGTTTAGAGTTTCAGCTTTGCTTTCGGAGGCCTGCAGCTCACTGCTTAACCACATTCACGTGCTTCCGTCAGTTAATGAGAAATCATTTTAAATGCAAGAAAAGCACGAACCAGAAACAGATGATCACTTCTGGAATATCTGTCAAGTTCCCAGGGCTATTTTCTGTAGGCAACATTTCCTGTAACGTGGTTTTACTGAAATGTCATTAATCAGAACAGAGGTGGGCAGCACCAGGCATTACCAACAAGATGTTTGCAGCAATGCGTGAGTGAGGAGGTTTTTACAAAGTGCTGCCACTTGTACATGAGCTTCTGGAATGTACTTAAAAGGAATTCTTTTCTTGCCATAAGGAACTCTGTTCTGTCCCTTTTGGTATGCATTTAGTAAAAGTTTCTGCTGTATACCAGAGGCCAGATCTCCTTTTCCATTAAATCAGCTTTTCCCTATTTCAGGGACACAAGGCAGTTTTGAAGCATTAAATGATCACCTGCTGATAACCTTTGCTTAGAGAAATCATGCAACAACCAATGAAGCTTGTTCTGCTCAGTTCCCTTTCTTACATGCTGCAGAAACAGTCCCTGGCTGTGCCACTGGCTGTGCCACTAATATGCCTCAGTAAATCCCCAAGTACCGTGGGAGTCTTGTGAGAGTTTCAGCTCAAGTAAAACTGAGCAGATTAGGGCTGCTCTGAGCTTCACAAGGAAAACTGACCCCTTGCTGCACTCAGGTCTAGACAAGTGCTTGTCTTTTCTGTTGCTGTGGTTCTGTGCTCTGCATCAGACCCATTTGGGACTGGGACTCCAGAAACATGACCATTGCCAACTGCTTTTAAAAAAAAGCAAAGATTTGATGTACCTAAATACTTAAATGTTTTTCTTACTACACTTCAAAAGTCCTCTGAAAGGGAGGCAGTTGCCTGGGTACCTCACGGAGAGAAATGTGGAGCTGAGGAGTGGTTTGATTATCCTTTTCCTAGGCTGCTTCTGCAACCACATTTCTCCTCATTCCTAAACCCTGTTTGTTCGTCTCAGCTCTTGGCACCAAGAGTTGAAATATTTCCAAAAAAACAGCTTCATCTTTAATGTAATTGATTTTAATAAATTGTACAGACTGTCTTTAGAAAGCAAAGCAGAAATGCTGTCTGACCTTGAAAAGCATTATTAAGCAGTGAAACACAGTTTTGAGTAACACTCTCAGCTGCTGCCTTAATGACACTCAGCAGTGTTTGGATTTATGAGTGTTTCTTATCTCAATTGGCTCCGATGGAAAGATCAGCTTTTCAAAATGCAACCTCGTAACATACTTTTATCTTGTAATTATTCACGTCACTATTTACACAGAATAAGCTAATTAAAAAGAATTAGGACAACATATGTCACTGTACAAATGTTGAGTTGCCTAATCTGAATTAGTTTTACATAAGGATTATCTGTATCTTGTTTTAAGAATGAAAAATGCCATCTACTGGTTGAGCATGAGACTCAGAAACTAAAGGAGCTGGATGAAGAGCACAGCCAAGAACTGAAGGAATGGAGAGAGAAACTGAGACCGAGAAAGAAGGTAAATTGGAGCAGTTCTCGAATCGGGAAATAATCAAAGGCTTGATCAAGCAAATACAGACAGTACAAAAGCATTGCAGAGGAGAATCAAGCTGCTGTACAAAGCTGGTATAGTTCACTGAATAATAAAAGACATTAAAAAATGCAAAAGCTGAGCAAAGGGCAGGTGCAACAAAACAGTCTGTGTGTTACCAGCTCCCTCCTGCAGCACGTGTGTGTGTGTGTTTGCATGGAAAACTTAGCTGGAGATGCATTCCTAAACCCAGATTTCTTTCAGAAGCCAGTGGGTTACTCCAAATATTGAGTGCTAAATAACAGATAGAGGGTGGTGGAGGTTGGTTTTGGGGTCTGTATTTTAATTTAAAATGGAAAGTGCTAGATTTTCAAACAGTTCAGAGGGTGTCCTGCAGGCAGATGATGTTCTTGGCTTGTGGTGTCTTGGCTGTCTTGCAGTTTCATGTTTGCTGGGTGACTTTTTTTGATGCTCTGTATGAAGTTACAGCGTTATATCAGCCGATATATCACCACAATAATGGGTTTCTTGTACTTTGCCTTGTTAATTCTGTGACAATCTGATTTTGGTTTTAGACGCTGGAAGAAGAATTTGCCAGAAAACTGCAGGAACAGGAAGTTTTCTTTAAAATGACTGGAGAATCCGAATGCCTTAATCCTTCAACACAAAGCCGGATTTCCAAATTCTATCCAATCCCCAGCCTTCACTCTACTGGCTCGTAACTCTGGGAACTGCTGTAGGTTTTATCCTGTCTGGAATTCTCCATCCCTACCCATCTAACCTGACTGACCTGTGGCGTGCTTACATCGGAGGACCCCGCGCGTTTGTTTTCAGTGGAGACAATCAGTGTCACATCAGTTCCTTCACTTCTCTGAGCGGAAGAAACGAACCCAGTGTTGGTGTACAATGGTAATGTTACGTCCTTCAGATGTTTCAAGACTAAGTGGGCGTTTTATCTCGGTCTCTAAAAGTGTGTTACCAACGGTTTTGACTTTAAGCCTGAAATATTAGTTGTGCTCTTCCTCATCACAAAAAAAAATGGTTTCTCATGTGAACATTTAAACCAGGTAATATTAGTTCTGCTATTGTGTTTTTAAGCATCAGATCTCTCCACGAGAGAATTCCCCAATTGAAAATGCCATGAGAGGTTTAAAGTTTCATAATGTTGAGCAGTGTCTTCATGGCAAGGACTGAAACTAATTGCTAAGAACATGCCAGTAATCAGAGAAACAAACCCTTCTGTTTAAACACGTTTGGCAAAAGCAAAATGTAATTTCTTTCAAAAGAAACCTCTGGCATAAATTAAACTGAGCTGATCTCCATGACACGTTTTGTCCATTAGTTCCATAATGAAATGGGGTGCTAGTTTAATTAATACAGTGCCTGAAACACTTAGATATGCTGATCCTGGTAACAGGATACTGTTTTGTCACTTAAAAAAAACAAAACTCCTTAGCGTTGTTGTTACTGTACAAAACAAGATTTCTTGCTGCTACTGCCATTTTGGTTGTAAATCCTCACCCTAAAATATTTTGCACTAAAATATGTAAAGGTGAAAGAAATGCTAACTTTAAAATGCACAGTTTGTTATTTTCCTTTGCTATTACAGGTGGTTAGTTCTACAAATTGAAAAACTGTAGAATGTATTTTTTAGAAAGCAGGGTGCAAAATGCACGTGGTTTCTCAAACTGTACCTGGAATGGGTAGAGCCATTGTTCTGTTCTTACCAAAGCCTGTTCATTTAAACTCCATTGGAAAAGTGGAGGCAGATGGTCATATTTATAAATAATCATGGCTAAAGTCTGATTTCATTAGAAGTGTTAGATTCAATTTTTTTTTTTTTTTTTAGTCATTTTATTTTGTGGAAAGATTTAAGTTAAATATATAGACAAACTCCTTTATGAAGCTGGGTGTTTTGCTTTTGTGTTGCCACCTACTAACATAAGCAGGTTTTATTTTTCAAGTTCATAGATGTACAATAAGTTATTTACCTGACTGATCTGCAGTGGAAAATCTGAAACGTTTCTCATGTAGCGGGTAGGGAAATACAGCTGCGTTAGGTCAATTATTGCTGCACTCCTTTTGGGGGTTGGAGGTTGAGTCATATCCAGACACAGTGTTAAGGGCTGTACTTGGGTATGCTGGAGTTCTGTTTGTAAAATAGCGTTTGCTTTCTGTTGTTTGAGGCCTGACTTTCTCAGGTCTCTTCGGGCACCAACTGCGACCGTTTTGTTTTGCTCTCTTGCGCTGAACGTGCGGCCGTGACCATTGGCGACGTTCATTTCAGGGGAGCTGTGTTGCTGCATGTCAATGAGCTCATAAATTAACATGGGACTTATAATCAGCTGTGGTCGAAATCTGGGACACTGAAATCCTTGGACGTTGAAGCGATACCTTCTCAATGAAGACACTTAATTTACAGCACAGAAATTAATTGGAAAATGCATGTTTAATTTAAATTTTGTAACTTTTTGATAGCATAATTACTTTAATAGCTAGCCTTAATTTCTGGCATTTTATTATTATAAATGTGTATTGTGTACTGTTGTAAATTCACACACCATATCTCTAGAATGTTCTCTGTTGCTAAATGCAAAGTTCTTTGAATTGTTTGTTCATTAGGGAGAAAAAGGTCTTTGAAGATCCTTTGCTTTTTAAGCTCCACCTTCATAAATTGACTGTTACTGAGATAAAATTAAATAATCTTCCTTTCTATTTAACAGAATTTGTTTGCATTTCGTATGACGTAGGCTCAGTGCTTTACTCAGGGAGCAGGCAGGGCAGGCAGATTTTCCTCAGAGAGAAATCACAGAATGTTTAGGGGTTGGAATGGACCCTAAAGATCATCTAGCCCCAACCCCCCACCTCCACTAGACCAGGTTGCTCAAGGCCAGCCTGGCCTTGAACACTTCCAGGGTTGGGGCATCCACAACCTCTCTGGGCAATCTGTTCCAGGGCCTCATCACCCTCACAGTACAAAATTTCTTCCTGATATCTATCCTAAATTCCCCCTCTTTCAATTTGTACCCCATGCTCCTTGTCCTATCACTACACTACGTTAATAATCTTTTCCTTACATTTTTGGTAGTTTCAGTGATCACTTGCTGATGTATATTGGCATTCTGTTTACCTCTGTCTAAATCTCTTACATCTTTTATTTGAAGATCCTTTTCACACAGGCCCCTGCAATCTGATCTCATTGTAAATTGCACAAATAACTGTAACTGAGCTGTGTGATGAAGGGAGAGATCGGATGTGGTGATGGAAGCCTTGCCCATCTCTTCAGGTGGGGAGCACTGTGGAGCAGTTGCAGCCTTGTGAACCATGCTGAGAATTGATATCAAGCATGAAAATATGTTTTGTGTGTGTTAAGAGGAACTAGCATGGGTACTTACACACTTAGACTGATAAAATTGGATTTAAGTGTTGCAGAACATGAAAGAGGTGTTACAGTATTATATCAGTGTTGGAAAATTCAATTCAAATTAATTTAGTCTCATGTAGGCCCAAAAGAGATCTCGTGAGATACAAAATCCAATCTCTTTACTGTCTCATGTCACCTTCCTTTAATGAATGTTAGCAGCTCCATCTCCAGGGTAGTTAGATGTGTTTTCCACAGGCAAAACAATGTGCTTTCTTACTGACTGTTTGGCAGATCTCATTGTCCCCACGTGCTCTTGCAAAGCTGAGCAGAAATCGGTATTTTCTCACCTTTGTGTTTTACTACATCATAAATACTGTCCACAGGGAAAGGAGCAAAGGCAATAAGTGCCTGGATTGCAGTCAGTGAGTGTATGGGTTGTTCTCCTGTATTTACAGCTGATCCTCACAGAAAACCTGCCTGCAGGCCCCTGGCCTCTGACAGGGTCAGACTTCACATGTGCTTCCTGAGCTCTGAAAGCAGATTTGGGCACCTGCTAAGTCAGCTTTTATGGGAAAGGGCCTTGTAAGGACAGAGCCCCTGGCTCTGCTCACATCCCGAGTTCCGAACTCAGCCGTGTGCAGGCTCCCCAGTCCTCCACTAATGCAGTGCTGCCGGCAGCCCAGGGAGCTCTCTGGGGGCTCCTGTGCCCCAGATTTTGGGAGACTCCACATCCCTCCTGAGTGGGGCTGGCTGAGGAGGGGTTACCAGTCCCGGGGGCAATGACCTGGTTCAGGCCTTGGCCTCCCAGAGTCCCAAGGGAGCTTTGCTGTTTATTTTGGTGAGGGAGAAATACTCGAACATGTGATCCTCTCTGATTCCCATAAAACAAATTTTCCTCCTCCAAGCGCTCTGCTGTCTCTGCTGAATGCACAAGCGGGTATGGTATGTAAAGATAGGATCTTGAGGTTGTTAGGATTGTTTAGATGGATCCTGATTTATAAACACCTTCTGAAGGAAAACCTTTATTTGAATTGACACCTGAATTCCAATTCCGAGGTGCCAGGGCTACTGTCCTGACTGGTGACATTCACTCGTGGTGATTCTTCACATCAGTTAAAACACTGTTAAAATACAGGTTAAATTCCAGTTGAGCTGCATCCTTTTTTCCAGATAATCTTTTCAGCTCATACTCTTTTAAAATTACATTAATGGGTGTTCAATATCTAATCAATCACCCAGTTAAAAGAATTATTCTTCTGTCCCAGAGGACTTTATGATAACTCCATGCTACTGAATTGTTTCTCTTAGTAAATAAGAAGTGTAGCACCTTAACTAAGATGCAGCCAAGCAAAGCAGCAGTGAAATTTCTTTCCTCACACCATGTCTTTTGTGACAGCAAAATCACACAGGAAGTTGAAACAGTATCTGTCCTGCAAGTATTTCAAAGATGCTTTGGTATAGGAAAGATTTGAATAAGGCGTTTCAAATTCAGGCACTTAAGTCCACTTTTAAGGCAGCCTGATTTTCAGAGCTGCTGTGCAGCTGCAGCTCCCAGGACCTCAAACACTCATCTTGCTGGAAACTGAAATGTGCAAATAAATAAGCTCAGTGCTAGCTCCTTCCACTGAACTCCTGTTTCTTGGCTCATCTGGGGAAATGGGGCAAGTTTTTGAGGACAGTGACTCTGGTTGCTGGGGAAGGGAAGGGAGGAAGGTTTTAGGACAGTCACTGTGTAGATAAGTTCTCTGCCTTCTATGTTAACATTTCCATTCTTGTCATTTTATGTCAAAACCTGTACTTCTGGATCTCTGAAACTTCCTTGCACTGATGTGTCCGTGCACATTTCCCATTCTCAGACTATTTTTGCCATCTTCACAGCAGTTGAAATAAGGTCAGAGAGAATTAACCTTCCTTGTTCACAGGCAAGCCAAGGCCAGGATGTCCTGTTGTTTCTCAGTCTTACAAAAGATGAGAACAGATAAAGGGGAGAAGACAAAAGGAAACCACAGTGTTTCTCTTTTACAGAACTTTTAGTTGTTTTCTACCCCCTCTCTCCCTCCTTAATTCTTGTGTTCATTTCTGTAGCCCCTTTGCACATCTGGCGTTGGGGCAGTCAGTGATGCCAGAGAAGAACAACCCCTTGAATACAAACATGCTCTAACCTGACTCCTCACTAAGGGCTCATTTGCTTCCCTTGTACTGAAAGCAGAAGGGAGTGGCCGAGCCCAAAGTCGCCCTGATTTTCCAAAATCTCTTCCAATTACCAAACTAAGTGGTAAGGCTTCTTTTACAGTATCAGTCCTAAAGTGGTGGAAAGAACAGAAAGTAGAAAGGGACACGGAGTGAAATCTAACATTGAGCTGTCACCCCCATGTTCTGTCAGCAAGCAGAGCGGGAGCTCTGTCACAGTCCTGTGACAAAGCACGTGCGACGGAGGCAGCGCCGGCCTCGTGTTCTCCCAGCAGTTCGTTGAATGTTTTGTGTTAACTGCAAAACAAGTTACTCTTGCCTTACAGAAAGCAACCAAAAATCATGAGATGGATGAGTAATTGGCTAAGGGTTTCTGTACAGCTCGTGGAAGTGAACTTGCAGTAGCAGCCATACAACAGTTTTGGTTTGGGTTTTTTTTGGTCTTGTTTCTAAAAGTAATTGATTTCATGGCTTTCTGTAGAATATTGTAATAATTCTGCTGTAAATACAATAAAAATCACAGTTTGCTGAGATGGCCTCTGTTTTGTTGATGGAAAACTTGCATGAAATACAAGTGATGTTGGAGTGAGGGGGACAGTTTAGAATTTTTGAAATAACTGAGTGTAAAAAGTATTTGACGTTGTGCCATTGTATTTTACCACTTTACCTCAGACCCCTCTCAGGTGCCTCACCCTGCCCCACAACACAACCTGCAAGCACAGAAAGGTGGTCCTAAGTAGTTAAGGGATTGGTTTAAAAACTTTAATTGGGCTGTTTACATTAAAATTATGTTTCCCCAATGTTTAGAAAACCAGAAAAAAATACAAAAATATTTTTAAAAAGGTAAACAACTTACTTTTAAAAGTGCTTCTGTTTGGTCCCTGTGCATGTCCTGTCTTGCTGTGCTGCTGCCTCCAACTTAGGGCCGGCAGGGTTTGTGGAGAGGGAGTCCCAGTGCGGTGTAAGCTCAGTCCCAGGGTATCTTGCAGGGTCTTGTATCCTGTGGGCTGATCCTACATCTGATCCCTGACAAAGCACAGCATCTGGGGGCGTTGGGATTGCTTTCTTTTTTTTCTTTTTGCTGGATAGTTGGCTACTTGTTAAAAAAAACCAGGTTTTTATATAGCTGGGAGTAATGCAAGAAGCCTGGACTAGGTGAGACAGGAAGCCCTTGTCAGCCCAAAGACAGGAGCCTGGGAGCTCAGGGTCACAGAGCCAAACATCAGTAACAGGAGCAAACACCCACGCTGGGGCCATGCTGGACACGTACAGGAGACAGGTAAGATCTCTGCAGCAACACTGAACTATCAAGTCTAAGGGGTCAGCTGAGTGGTGAGGACTTTTTAGCATTAAGGCAGTGAAGACTCAGGCTAATTCTCTACAGGGCTGCTGGGAGTGCTGCCCTGTGCAGAACTGAGCTGCCTCTTTCCTTAAACCCCAGCACTTCTTCTTTTTCTTCTGCCAACATACACTTGTTCACCTGGAGACAATAAAGTAAAAAGGAGTTATTTGAAAAGTTCATGTAGGAAGACAAAAGCTCCAAAACAGTGTTTTCCAGCCATTCCCAGTGATGGGCTGGTGCCTGGGGAATCCTCCACTCCCTGAGAGGCAAACCCTGCTCTCCTGGGGATGGCAGGTGTTCATACCTTTCTCTCCCTTCTCTCCTTTTGGTCCCCTGTGCCCTTGTCGTCCTGGCGGGCCCATTGGCCCAGGGTCACCTGAAGGGATGAGAAAACCAAGTTTGCCCTTGAGCACAAGTGGTTCATGGACAGGGACAGACCAGGGTAAGGGAGACAAAGGACAGTGTTTTGGCTGAGATCCTGAAGGCGTCACCTTCTCTGTTGGAAGGTGTGACCTTGAGCAGTGCTGTGCCAGCTACCTCTGTGGTCATAGTGCTGCTTCCTCACCAGGCTAAAGAGGGAGAGGATGGCAAGCCTTACCTTTGGGTCCAGGATAACCCCTCTCTCCCTTTTCACCGGGTGGCCCCTGGATGGCACCATATGCTGGAGAGGGAAATGAAGGAGAGGATGAATAAGGGACAAACTACTGTGCTCACTCAGAGAAGCAGTGGGTCACCCTGGCAGGACATTTCTCTCAGATGGGATGGGATGGACAGAGAAAGTTTTTCAAAAAGGGTTTTGGTCCCAGCAAAGTTCCAGGGATAGGCTGTGATGGCATTTCACCAGCCCTGCTCTGCCACCTGCTCTGGGCATCCTGGCTGTCACCAGGGCCAGAGCTGGCCCATGCTCAGGGCAGTGAATCTGAGAGCAGAGCGAGCAATTGACAAGTGCCAGCCCAGCCCTGTTAAAATGGGGCACACAGGTTGCAAGCACGGAGGCCTTCAGGGTTTGGGATGAGTTTCTTACAAATAGTGGGGAAAATTGATGTCCTTCCTAATGATAAGACTCTACCTCCCCAGCAAGGGGGGAAGGAGTTTGAAAGACCATCCACCTCCAATGGTGTACCTTGACTTTTGCAATGTGCAAAGGTGAAAAGATCACCAGGTCTGTGAGAGAGTGGGGAGATGTTATGGGCATGAGCCAGAAATGGCAAGTCAACGTCACTTACTTCTAAAGAAGTCCATGAGGTCTGCAGTGACATTGCCATAGGCTGCAAAGACCTTGCTGATGCCAGGGGGACCAGGAGGGCCTGGGGGACCTGCAGGTCCCTGTGCAGTGTAAGTCATCAGGTCCTGGAGAATACCTTGGCCTGAGGAATTAAAGATGTGATTTGAAAGGAGCTCTGGGAGAACTGTGTCTGGATGTTGAGGCAGGAAGGTGTAAGGGAGAGCTGTAGGCAGCAGGAAGGGGAGGGAAGTGACCGGTGTGACAGCAGGCACAGGGGGTTAGGAGTCGTAGGCTGTGACAGGGAGGGTCAGGACAAGCAGGCTTTTCACTCACTCTGTAGGCTCTCTGACACACGGAGTGCCAGCTCGTTGTAATCCAGGGAACCAGTGAAGGAGTTGCTATAGGATCTGCTCGAACCTGTGGACCTGCTGTGGGATTCCTCCTCTGTCAGCAACCCATCGAAAGTCCCCTCACCACCCACGGAGGCACCGTAACCGCCATCGCTGCCCACTGAGGCGTGGTAAGAGGACATCCTGCTCATGGAGCTGCCATATGAGCTGCCTGTGCCCAGTGACCCCCCGTGGGAGCCCTCAGCACCAAGGGATCCTCCATGCGAGCGCTCGGAAGTCCGTAACCCTTGGTAGGATGAAGACATAGACCCAGACACGAAGCCACTGTCTCCTTTGGGTCCTGGTGGTCCCCGTGGCCCAGGGGGCCCAGGCGGCCCTGAGATGTAGCTGCGAACTTCATCACCTGCAAAATACAAGGGCAGAACTTCAGGGACACTGGGCTGGGCAAAGGTCCTGTGCTACACCCTGAGTGAAATTGTGTCCCACCAACCCTCATCCAATGCCATTTCTCAGGCAAGTACTTCAGTCTCGATCTCTATGGTGGCACCCTCCTCCTTCCCATCTCTCACACAGTTAGTTTGTGTGCCCAGTCTTGGGAACATGCCCACTGACTTTGCAGAAGGGTGCACTCCTCTCAGGCCAGTTTCAGCACCTCCGACACAACAGCCATTCTGTGACCAGTCTCCCAAAAGTGAGGGGAACCCCATGATTCTGAAAAAATGCCCTGGATGACTTGGCAGGATGAGCTCAGACCAAAACTGCTTCACAGCTGCCTCAGTGCTGCCTTCCAACCCCTGCATCATCCATTGCTCTGGGGGCAGGTGCTTGCCAAAGAAAATGCTTTTCCCATGGCAAAACTCTGCCAGTGTCCTTACTGGGGACTCACTGTTCAGCACAGGCCAATTTTAAGTGCCCAGTGCCTGTCCCTGTTGTGTCACAACACAGAGCTTGGATGGGCAGTTGGACTGAGAGGAGACAACCCTGCAGGATGCAGCACAGTCCTGCACAGACCTGACTGTAGATTTAAGGTGTTTTTGCAGCCCCAGTTCAGGGAAGGTTCCTGCAGGAATGCCTCAGCTGTGGCAGGGAGCAGCCTACACGGGGCAAAGCATGGCTTGGAATGTGTGCAGGGAGGATGGATGGTGTCTCCTTACTCTTCAGGTACTGGATCAGCTCACTCCTGAACTCATCGCTGTGGGTGATGTCAGCATAGGACAAAAGGCCGGTTCCTGAGAAGCCTGGTGGTCCTGGAGGGCCAGGAGGGCCAGGTGGGCCCCGGACTCCAGAAAGGGAAGAGTATCCTACATCTTGAGAGAGAGAAGAATTATTTTTCATCAGCAAGAAGGCAAGGAAATTGCACATCTGGGAATCTTGAAAGTCTCCAACTCCAACTTCCATCCCTTTACAGATTACAATGATGAGATTTATTTTCTTTAAAGTGATCTTTTTCTCAGTGGGCAGTCACACCCCTTGTAAGCTAAATCTCAGCCTCAGCACCCCCAGAATCCCCTTACAGAATCTCTGTAAGAAACACAAGTGCTTTACTTTGTAGGTAGGCAGAGACGTCCTCCAAAGAGGTGCCTGGTGTTCCGGGGATCCCTGGAGGTCCTGGGGGTCCTGCAGGACCAGGGGGCCCGACCAATCCACTGAATTCGGAGTCTGTAAGACACAAGGTAATCCAGCTGCAGCCCCTTGTGGTGCGTGCAGGTGCTGGCAGAGCCCAGAGGTCTGCAGTGCTGCTAAGGATGAGGGGCCATCAGAGTTTATTCATACAGGTTATTCATATTTGTCATGACAGGCAAAAGGGGAAATTCTGTGCCTAGGACTGTAAAAAAACATCTCAGGGCTCTGTAGGGACCCACAGCAGGGGTGCAGAGAAGGTCACTTACTTCGCAGGTATGCTGTCAGGTCACTGTAGGATATACCAGGAGTCCCTGGAGGCCCAGGTGGTCCAGGAAGTCCAATGCTCATCCCAGAACCTGCAAAATCAAACAGCTCCACGTTATCAGAACAGTTTGAGCAGACAGGCAATGCAGGAGGGACTCCTGCAGCACGGAGTGTTCTCATCAGCAGGTTGTGCTGAGAATCTCAGATCAAGCCTTGTTCTGGACTTGGAGCTCGTCCCTTCAACCCCAACACAAGGACACCTGCAGACAGCAGGGATCAGGCCTCTATTCTTGGCAAAAGCTTTGCACCTCATGAATCTGTGACATGGTAGGGGCACCCCCAGACTTACAGCTCAGCTGTGACCTGGGGGCTGATGCATGTGCTGCTCTCCCTGTGTCTGCAGCTCTGGGGCAACACCCTGCACTTTGTGATTTGCTTTAATGCAATGCCCATGCTGACAAAATGCAGCTGTCCTGCCTGAGCCATTAAACTGCCTTTAAACTGCAGTTTCCTGCTTCCAGACCCAAAGAGGAAATTCCCTCCATTTCAGGAGCAGTCCACTAGTGAGACCTGGTCTCCAAGGGCAGTTCAGAGAGACTGAGCATGGACCAGGCTGTGCTCCTAAGCAGATAATGCAGCCACCAGGATTAGGCTTTTCAGCACTACTGCTGGGGATGCTCCAGCTCCTCTCTGTCCAACAGTTCTTACATACTATATCACCCCCTAC